TCATCACGTCGATTACGTGCCACTTTACGTACATCCGCTGGGTCGGGCTTAGTATGCCTTGGTTTCTCACCAACAACATTAACATTGATATTCAGCGCGTTGCTATCACAGACAACGTCACTCAGTGGGCAATTTCGTGCCACGCTCGTATAATGGTCGAAACTCTCGATGACTCGACGCTTGGTGAACAATTCTTTCAGCATCCAGTACGTTGATCTTACAACGACTATTGCTTAGCGTAGTAATTTCCGATTCACAATTAAATGTTAAGCTCTGTTCTATACGTGTGTCTCTATATCGCTAGATTAAGCTAACTCTGACACTCCAATGTCCATCACACTTAAATCGTCAGCCAGTGGCTCGCGCCAAAAGCGCTTCTGATTCCTATCAGATGTGGGTTCATGACTCTCCAACGCTACGCTAGGAGAAGTGCGCACGGCGCCTGATGTTTTCGACCTCCAGCCGATCCATGGTGTTTGGAGCTTAAGCCAAGCCAGACCAAGAATGAGATCACACATCGAGTTCAAATCAGGAAATTTACAGCGCTCAACGATATCAAACTCAAAAACTTCACATTTAGGTTCGCACAGTTTTTGGGTGCAGTGACAAGAGTTCCTGCCGACAAGCAAACCATGATTGTACCGCCCTTGTGATTTTAGCGCCTCGCCATAATATAGAAACCCTTTCAAGGAACATCGTCTGACATAATAACTGAATGCCCAGATTTTGATCGAAACCGACCAGGGTTTGTCAGAGCCTTATAAATTTGCCTTTACGACCTACAATCTTGATTTGTATGCACGTTCCGAGCTAGAGTGGACATGACTCCTTGGGGATAAGCTCTGCTCACCACAATTTAATAAATGCTTAAATGAGCTTACTTCTTCTTTATAACGGCACCACACGTCTACTGGGAGCCTATGTTTTCCCAACCGTACCGGACTTCTAATTAGTAGTGACAGCCGGCTTGAAATATTCTGGCGTGACCTGCGTAAAGGGCTATCACGTCGCAGATGCTGTGTGCTTCCGCACGTGAAACATCGTCGAATGGTTCGATGCTAATCTACAGCTCGAAGCTCTGCTTCTTCTTCCGTTTCGGCGACACTGAGGTCCATAGGATCCGGTCTATCGAATGCACGAAAGGATTTCGACGAGTTTAGGTTGTACCCATGGGTGCCAAAACGGGCTGCCCTAAAGTCAAACTTTGCTTTTAACGCTATACCCACATCTACTCAAAAGAGGTGGAATTTACCCGGCATACTTACGTTGGGGCCACGTTCGTGCGAAGGCCTTCTATGAAGACGGTAACAAAAACACAGCTTAGTAAGGAAATATGCTGCATTGCAGCAGTTTGAGTTCTCAGTCCCTGGGCATAGTACGATAGCTTTTTCTTGCCCTGACGAGTAGATAGAATACGATAACGCAACCGATATACCTGATTGGGCGGAGCAAACGCCCAGAATATTTGCTGGTTTAGCAAATCCCATGTGGGGACAGCTTCGTCTATCAACTTGTTACACGTGAGAGCCCAATATCTGGCTTTATAACCCAGTTTTGATGCAGCCATCCCAACTCGCTGTTGTCCTGACCGGAGAATAGCGAAGCTCATTGCCATCTCATCCTCTTTGATTCACAGGATGAATCTCTTTTCTTTTATCAGTCAAATGTATGTACATTCAAGACCAATGGGCGAGCCCTTGGCTCTTCATTAAGTATGGGGTCATACTGAGTGGTCATAGCCGATGACAAATGTTCGTGTGTTTGCCCGATAAAAGTGGACTTAAACTGCAATAAAGCGTCAAGACGTGCACGAATCACGTCAGGACCTTTGCAACGATTAAATCTACTTGGATTCATTTCGGACTAGCGCTCTGAGTTTATCTAGCGCTGATTCTTAGAAATTAAAGGGGTGGTCTTTGTTTTAGTCCATTAAGAGGAACAGTTCATTAACATAATTAGGTAGATTGACTACAAGTACTACCAAGTTTAGCGAAGCTGCCCTTACTCCTTTGTCAGAGGAAGATTTTAAGACCAGGAGAGTCTATTCGTGTATTGAACTAAGTGGGTATCCACTTGAAGCGAATAAAGTCCTACAGACTTGATGAGGCTTAATTCTCGAGTATACGTACAAGCTCTTAAGCTTCTAGTCCTGGTGTAGGGGATTACGACTCCAAGAAATTACGAGGCACTGATGCCCAACAGTAATTAGCCTGAGCTTAGGCACTATAAACTTACGACCAGAGACGTCTTGGAAAGGCGCATGTCTTGATTTGATCAAAATAGGAACTGAATGCATTTACTGATTTGCAGCGAATGCAAACCTTACTTACGCCGTTAACCTTAAAGCTATGCTAGCTAAACGAATAGTCCTCATTGTAGTTCTTCTTGTGTACTACACCATAACTACGTCGCTTCCATAAAGACCCTTTTACGATAGATACCTTCTAACCGTAAACGATAGGGTACGATATGATCGCTCAGCTATGTGATACAAAAGTATGCCTTTTCAGTGACATGATCTCGTTCTGTGTGTATCACACCGATGCAACTGGTAGTCACAACCATTTGTGTAACCCTGTTACTTGTATCCTTATCGAATCCAAGGTAACATTCATACAAGCACCACAAGCCCGACATCAATGTTGTGTCCATGGCAGGGTTTGTGAATATGTGCGGAATCTCCTTGATGAAGGCACCACGATAGGTTTTATGTTACGCTTTACGCGAGCTCCGTGTACATGTCACCTTATCTATTAGGTAAAGTGGCCAGGATATATACGGCCACTGTGTAGCATTGTATGCCCTGGGCCAAATGCTGGTATTCCTTAATTAGCGACTTAAATTGACCCAGCCTTGTGGTAATCGACTACATTCCCACTAGTTTGCAGCGGCGGCCTGTCGTGTCCCAGTTAAACATGCGTGAGATGGCTACAAGCGCATACGCTACTTTGGCAAGGACATCGAATACTGGACTTCAGTAGTAAACGACGAGTTTTCGTCATCGCTGCATTGCCCAAGCGAAGAAGTACTGAGCACGTGCTTAGCCGACCAAGTCGCAAGTTTCTCCATCAGATGTTATATGCTGCCAGGCTTCTTACAATTCACCCCTGAACATTGTTGTCGAATTACTGCACCACTTTTGTCGACGACAGCCTGGCTATTTGCTACCGTTGTCTGCCCCGATCGCATTACGCCCACTGCGATAATGCCGGTCTGATCTACCGTCTTGTTGTGCTCTATGTAATGATGCGTCCAGTTCCTTACGTCTGGATTTCTGCACAACGTCAAGCACGTAATAGAGCTGTTTGTCCCAGTAACGTTTCGGCGTCTTGTGCTACAGCTGTTTGTCTTATGGTCATCGCCCACTGTCACCGGTCACATGCAAAGGAGTTTAGCCACTGCCACACGACGCCGTCGTGATCGAGCACCCACTCGTATCTGGCAGTGATATTCATCGTCAGAGTACTTGCGTAAGTCGTGCATGAAGCCCAGCATAGCATGGCTGCATCAGTGTTCGTATCAAGCCCCGTACTATCACAAAGCCAGCAGCACCTTGGCTTGTATACCCTTTTAATTTGTCGTCACGAAAGAGCACATCGACACTTGGTACAGGCAGCGCGAGAGCGCACACTGCAACATTATCTGCCCGCCCACTTACAATGTATTTGGCATAGCCAGTAGCACACGCAACCGTCATGTTGATCCGTGATCGATGTCTCACATCGGACACATGAGTTGCGCAATTCCTCAAACAAGAGTCGCATTGATACTCGCACGCAGCAATGTCAGCTTGCAGATGCCTCACCCAAAGCCAGAGGTTAAGGCACTTCAAAGTGGTCGTAGCCATGAGCTGCCACAACAAGCTGGCTGCTGGGACGAGCTGATGGCGGAGCTTATTGTTGCCTTCGACCTTACACATAAAACCTCAGGGTGCGCTTCAATTCTTGGTGGGCGCAGCAGGCGGCTTTAGGATAAGCATGCGCGCAGGAGGTTACCGTCTAAGTTGCCGCCGAGAGATTTGTATCGGGTACGGAAGCTAGTCCACGCTTTAAACGCCAACAAGCATCCCGAGAAGACATGTTGTGGTGACACCGACGCCTGGGGAACTATCATTTAACATCGCGAGTAGGAATCAGTGAGGGGACACAAAAAATTTGGGCAAGATAACCCTGCCATCACTTTTAAATTGCTGACGTCAACGATCTGATCAAGATTGCAGACTGGGCGATTCCAGTTTTTTTGCGGCGTTTGAATCGAAGGTTTGCAGAAAAGGTGGAGTGAATTCGAGCTCATGCTGCGTGAACAGAAAAGTGGGTGACTGTCCTCGAAGACGGTGGTGTCTTGCGGTATCCGAAAGTTTGTGCTGTACGATAGCGCTGTATACGCACCCACGCGTTATCCAGGCGCGAGCGTCGAGGTCGCGTAAAGGAGTGACACAATGTGGCGTGGGTGCACGACATGCGACTACGTCACGGGCTAGTTAAATGTGGTCGTAGTCAACAACGATCCAGCCCTGCGATGTCATGGTCGACAAAGGTGTTCGCTTTGATAATCCGAGGCACTGACGACAGCAGCGAATATCGTCTCCTCTAAACGAACTAATGGTGTAAGCATGCCTGGTCAGCCAACGAGCGGTGCATTTAAATGTTTGCATGGGCCCATAGCTAATCGATGTGCGAACTAACGTGACCCACGCTGTTAAACTCACTGCAACGTCACTTGAAGCTTGAAAGGTGCTGGAAGACGATGATGCATCCTCAATGGATAACAAGGTCCGGGCAACGTCGACGATCATGTGCGGCACGAGCATGTGTCCGTTGGTCTCCTGACCAAAATACATGTTGCATTCACAAGCTTCGCTTGACGTCGGAACAACAATAACAAACAAACAACAATTGTGATTGATTGAGACGTTATACTCAGCTGCTCACGTGCACGTAGGGGACGACTGCGTTGACACCAAGACCTCGTCCGTCACTTGTTGCCCGTTATTGATCTGATCAGTTATGATGCGTCTCTCGGTATTTCTTCGCTTTTGCCCTCACCCAAAGAATGAATTGCCGCTTTTTGATCGCCTCGTCAAAGTGTGGCGTGTCGTACGGATACATGAGCCAAAAGTTCAGGGCAGAGGGTTGAGTAGGGACTTTTCCGAAACGGAACCCGCGGACACCACCCCCACCGCGTGTCCTGTCTTCGGCGCTCGGATCGTAGTCAGACTTCACATTACCCGAGAGATTGCGTTCCTCAGCACCAGAAGTACTCGTGCTGGTGATGGCTATAGTCGCTAGTGCTGAACATACTAGACTAACGAAACGCATCGTTTTTGTTGGCTGACTGGAAACGAGGACTTTCGTGTTGGCTGAGTATATCAACAATGGTGTAGGGAGAGCGGACGACATCAAAATGTTTCTAACCCTGCGTAATGAACCCAACAGCTGATAGATCACATGGACCGACGCCATCCTGTGCTCTTTACATGCTACTAAAGTTTTCTCGTTTGTAACGATGTCCTCGCATAAGTAGCATTACCGTCGAACTCACATGAAATTACAAGAAACATGCAAAACTAATCACCAGGATCCACGGTTTGCGCAACCCTCCCCGCGGGAGTATCGCACAAAGCAGGGAGGTACGTCCAGACACCGTCGTTGCTTATTCGAGTAAGGAATTTATGAAAGATTTTAAGCGTAACATTACCGTTAAATATGCAGTCTATTCTTTTCTCATACCCCTTAATATGATGGCAATCATTTTAAGCTGCCAGATCCAGATGATTGAACCGACATATGCATGACCACGTCCATTAGGGTCCTGACCTGTTTTTCGTTGCAATATTTCAAAGCAGCTGTTATCTAAATACGGGATCAGACGATGGTGATAGAGTCAAAGCAGCCACGAAACAGGTAAATGGCACGAGCAATCCGTTGCAGCGACTCATCCTGCTCTGCCTGCTTTACCTATCTGACCGGGGTGGAATAGCGTAACACGTACCAAACATCACACAAATTGTTTTGTGCATCAATCTTCGCCCGACAGCACGAGCAAGCGCGGAGCCATTTGAACGACTGTACAACTATCGTATCGGCAAGAGTAGCGCTTGGTCCTTCACATCGACGTCATTAGCCAGCAAAGCACTCATATCTGGATTGCTAGTGTCGACTATAGAATAACGGGATTCAGCAAAATCTGTTATTATAATCATTAGATTTTGTTGTTGTACGATGAAGCAGGGGCCCAACGGCATAGCTTTTTTGCAACGGATACCGCGTTCCATAAACCCTGCAGTGGACAGGTTCGCGTATAAAGCGAATGAACACCTGCCAATTCGCGTATTTGGCATCCCTACCTGACAAATGGCAATGAGACCGGTCGTTGGATCGCAAGACGATCGTTTAAAGCTCGACGAGCGCACAATTTTGGTCCAGAATTATTACGAGCCCGAAGGGTGAAGCCGTTAATAATAATACCCAAGGTGATGGTTGAAATTTTGTTAAATTGTACTTATCTGCGTGATTTGTCTTTTTGTGAGTTTGAAAAGCGCAGGTGTGCCTACGACATCCAACGAAGTGCGAGGTAGGCTGCCCCCTCCTTATTAAAATTACGTTTTCATCAGGTCACTGATTGCGAACCCGAAAGACTATGGCACACACGCACCAGTTTCCGTACGTGAATAGCTCAAAAATGACCAAATAAGGACGGTGAGCTAATGAGCAAATGCTCGATGCTTTAGGCAGGGAAAGTCTTCGCATCTCCGGCATCCAGTAAATGGGTAGTTTTTTAATTCGTCAAACTTGATAAATAAATAAGTAGAAAGTTGTAGTCACCTTCCTCTCTCGAATGCAATCAAAGGTCCCTCAATTTGGTCTCTTTTCTACGCCAATTAATTATATTTCGTCGTCCTAATGCGTCACTTACGGCGTTGCCGGGCAGAATCTTCGTACGTCTGCCGGTTCTCTCATTTTCTTAGACACAGCAAGAAGTCGTTACAAAACCCAACACTGAAACAAACACATGTGTTTGGTGTCACATACACTGCTCAATCCATTCCTAAGCAGCTCAATACTCGAAATGAATGAGTAAAAAATTTGCAGAATTTGATTTCAATCAATGGATTTAATATCTCGTATCACAAAGAGAGCTCCTTGCTACCCTATCATGAAAGATTAACGGCGTTTGCCATACGTGCGGGAATGCTTATGGTGCTAAATGTGAAAGCAAAGACAAAAACACACAGTCCACTATAAGAAGAGTAATTACGCTTATCGACTGTAAAAAAGCAATTTGTGTGCATGGTGTGCAAGTAATCTTCTTTTTTTGGTTGCTTGCCATTGTCACCGCAATGCTTCTGTTGCGGTCACCGTTGCAATTTTTAAAAGACAAACGGCGAATGCTTTCGCTATAGCAGAGGACCTTCAAATTTACACGACATTCACAGTGGTAAGTGGAGATTGTCGGCTTGAAGACCAGGTGTTTCTTGCACATGTGAAGGCAGGCGAAGATGCTTGATGTATAACTTTACTTAAATTGGGCAGCATTCCAGTGACAGCAGCCCGTGCTTTGCGGTCTTGCGGGCCACACGATAATTCTTCATTAATCTCCAGTGTCAACCTGTTTTTTTTAGATTTGGAAGTCTTAATATCTACCAAGCGCTTTTCAAAAAGATAGGCAGATGCGGCGCCTGATCGAACTTTTCACTTTTGTTGTTTGACAATTACAAAGCACTAGACCTTTTCAGCTCGGAAGTAGAGATCAGTGATTTTCACTCGAGGTATGCTTAGCTTTGCTAAAACTGTCCGAGCTCGTAATGTTCGTTGCACAGAGAGCTACCCGTCGAATTCAATTACAACGAGTAGCCTTTAAGACATTGTTTGCAGAGACATGCAACGAGAGAACTGAAATGGGATAAATTGAACACGTTAACTACGCTTTATCATCCTACTTTCATAGTAGCAGATCAGATCGATACAAGAACCGATGCGAGCCTTAGTGGCGAACAACTAATGCCTGATTAGCTGATTTTTAACTAGTGCATTTCACGTGTTATTGCAACCCTATGCCCCCGCACTCCGCCACTTCGCTTCGCCTTGTCGACCTCTCTGAAGAACGAGGTACTAGCTGGTCTTATCGCTCCATGATGATTAGAATAAATCAGTTTTTCTTAGGTTTAGCACTTAGACGTATGGAAAAGACAATGCACATAGTGATCACGAAGACATCATTGCGCATGCACGCGTACATCGAACGAACGTCTTTTGCCCATTATGCAACGGGGTTACACGCGGTTATTTGAACCGGTTATGTTGTGTGTCCACACTAAGTAAAGATTGGTGGACCTGAATAGTACAGTCTTGGTACCGCGTACTTACGGTAATTCCGCACCTTATCGGGTAAGGAGAAGGGATAAGTTTCTGTCATAAGATCGTAGTTTATAATTTAGTCGGACAAGGTTTAGGTTCTATTACCATAGTTGAAGAATAAATAAAGTTCAGTCCCCCTTTCTAATCGTTAGACGCTAGTGCCTCGTCAAGGTATAGCGTGTTGTGAGATTGTTAGCCGTGTGAAAGCGTTTACTCTTGTTTGATTAGTAGTGACCAGTTATTGTGAAACTGTGAATAGTAATCCCTTTGGATCCGAAATTACTAATCTTGTACGCTTAAACGATTGTACGTCTTAGTTAGGTGTTGTAACTAAGTGACTCTTTGAGTCGATGACTTCCGCTTCAAAGGGGCGCAAAGTAGCTACGCTACACTTGGTAGCACTTGTAGTCAATTTTCACCTGAGTCTCTTCAGACTGGATCTTTTGCGAGAATGAAGACGGCCATGAATCTCTCTGAGGCTCAGCAAATTACGCTTGAGAAGCTCACGGCGTTGATCGGGCACGAGTGAGTGGATCTTTTTGTGTCGCAAGGCCCGGACGCACTTCTTGCACGTCTCGTGGCTATATCGAACTTTGAGTTCACGTTGATCGGACAGGTCCATGGCCATTTGGCATCTTCCATGCCCACTCGGTATTTTCTCATACCGGACGCTGAGTCAAGGATTCGTACTGTGATCTTGAGTGTCGAGAATTTCGAGGAGAAAGATGGAGACATTCTCCTTTCGTGGGATCGAGACATGCAGATTGCCATCAGTTTGGCCTTGCTGCAGTCAGCGCAGAATAAGGTGTGTCCGGCCCTATCAAATTTAAGTGGCCGGGCCAGTGAGAGGGCGTTCACTTCTGGCACCTCGATAGAAGAGGCTTTCCCACCTGGGGCATGCTTAAAAATAAATTATATCGGGTGTTTGCTCCGTCTAATCAGGCATGTCGCGTGCGATCACGCTTTTTGTCAACCCTCCAGAGTAAAAAGGACTCAGTCGATTATCTATGAGTTGCAAGCTAAATTGATGCTATGCAACTTGACCCCTTACCTGAGACGATTTTGGTTACTTTTTTATAGAGGGTCTTCGCACTGGCGCTGCCAGAATCGACGCGTTTCGTACAAAACCCTTGACATTTAGTGTGCAGAGGACATTGCGTTGACCGCAGGGCTCAACTAAATCTGTCTGCTACTTAGTTCACGGGATGTAATAGAACTTGTAGATTAATGCTCGTCTCATGGATAGGGCAGAGCCCGTTAATCTTAGTCTTGTTGAGAGAGACGAAGAAGCTGAGCAAAAGCTGCCGAGCAGCATTCGAACATCCGTAAATGTTTTACGTGCAAGAACATCGAACGTCTTTGTCCCAATTTCCCTTTGAGAAGGATCAAACAGGCTCATTCTAGCCGGATACCTGGTTCTAATCAACGATTTGGTAATGAGCGGGAAACGTCGAGTCCCAGTAGGTTTGAGGTGCTCTGCTGGGGAACATTTAGGCTCATTTGTACCCCTGGAAGGTGATAAAAAACAGGGTATAGCTTCAAAAGACTTTGTGCACAATGTCACGAAGCATGAGTACAATCCAGGCTTGTTAGTTGCGAAAGCAACAGTAAAAAATGGCTTTGATGAGCAATGGTCAATATTGATCGACTGCGGGGCGGCGGGAAATTGCATCTAGCGCTGTTCCCTTAAAGGTAGTCAGCAGTATGCTGAGCTGCTAATAGCGTAAAAGTATGAGACTATCACTGTTCGCTTGGCGACAGGTGCATTATTTACTGTGCCCAAAGTTCCTGTGAACTTAGGCGTGAGCTTTTCGGACTTTGACAGTATTGAACGCTGTCTAGATATTGACTTGTTAAGAGGTATGATCTTTTTTTTGGTATGGCTTGGCTGGAACGCTATGAGCCATGGATTGTATGGAGGTCAAAGACCTTAGACGCAATGCGCGCGATTACTGATGGAT